TCCAATCTGTTGGTAAAGGGTCAGGATTAACTGAAGGGAAACGGAGAGAGATCAAATTCAAGAATTTTAAGAAGCTCAGCTCCGAAGAAAAAAGAAATAAACCGAGATATTATGAAAATAGAAAAACCCTGCGTCCTTCTATTGTTGTGTTTGCATGTATGTCTGCATTGGATAACGAGACTTTTAATCTCCGAGTGATCTTATAAACAATTTGCTAAGGCTCAGATGGGGCATTCTCCATTACAAAACTAAGAAAAATATTCACATTTAACGTTCCAGTGTCACAGCCCATACAAATGGCATGCTCAGTATGTTAAATGTAGATTTTTTGCTAAAATGCAAATAATTTAATACATTGCTTCGATCTTAATCCGGTTTGTGCATGTTAAAGCACCTGCCTCTGGTTCATACTCATCAGGGGTATCACCTTAAGGTACTTAACATGGCATTCATTATTTTGTAAACATTTGGGGCTAACAGAAACAACTGTCAACACAACATTTACTCCTTATATTATAGCAATCATGTTAGTAATCAGATTCCTTGTTACACATCCAGCAGATACAGGGGAACATTAACACAAACTCCTGTGTGAAATATCTGGATCATTGTCTGCTAGGCACAGGGACAGTTTCTTCCCCCAGGCTATCACTCTGATGAACAGTTAACCCACGACAGTATGACTGGACAATAACCCTCAGTGCAATACTGGTAAATACACATTGTACAGATTATACAGATTCATACAGGTCTCTAGTTTTAAGTACTCTGTTTTTATTCCTACTTATCTCATTTCAATGAGCATTCCTTTGTCTGTCTCCATTGTTTACTGCCTGTTTATATTGCTTATTTTGCATTGTTTGCACTGTTTGTTGCTTGTTAATACTGCTTATTTTGTTATATTACACAGCCTTATGCTGGTTTACTGTTTACTTGCCCCTTGCATGGGGATATGTACATACACATTGAGAGCCGATGTACCAGAGTCAAATTCCTCGTGTGTCCGACACACCTGGCCAATAAAGCAGATTCTGAGACACTACAGTCACAGCAGGGTTTGATTATCTCTGTCCCACTACTCTAAGGACCTGTCCTTTCTCAAGCTCTTCTTCCTCTCTCTGTATAAAATTGCTGACTGCAGCTTGTCTCCCCACACATCACTGAATGAAAGTACTTGACCACTGGAAGGGAATTTACAGATGCTGGCTCTGTAGCCTGCCTAAGAGCTGGCTGGAATGTAAGACAAACTTTTTTTTCTCCTTCTTTCTCTGCTTAACCTCAGCATGCTTCTCTAAGGACTGACTAATTTCTCGGTGTCGTAAATAAGCTGGCTGTTGTGTCTGCTACTGAGCTTGTCTAACAGCCCCGTGTCAACAAGTACAAGCCATTAGTCGCTCTTTATCTGTGCCTGAAGAAGGCCAGACTTACATAAATGGGTCCTTTTCTCAAGGAGTCACTTTATACACTTCACCTTTATAAATGCAATTACACATTGGACTGTAAGTACTCTTGTCAGAGTCGGTGGGGTTTTGTACAATGTTTTAACATGTTTGTGTGTCAGTGTTTGCCAGTAAGGTGTCAGTCACTCTGTCAGTTAGGAGGCTACTGCATGAACAGAGATGTTGTAATTGCTTTGTGGATATTTCCACTTGGATGGTAAGTGTTGCTGCAGGGACAGTCGACCAAGAACCTCTCACTCACTATCATACCATCTTGGTGTCTCACACTCGCACTGTCTCTTCATCTGGCATTTGGTGCCAGGGTTGAGAACTCGCCAGCAGTGAGTCAGTGTGCTGCTAGTGAGCCAGGAATGCTGGGCTGGGAAGGCTGTAGTTGACCTTGTCACTCAATGCACTGCCAGTGGTGGGGAGAGTTGCAGAAACACTTAACTGCCTATGTCATACAAGCATTCGATTTTTGAGTCCTCATTTGCCACCCTGTTGCTTCTGTAAACATTTCTGGGTGCTAACGCAGACACACTGGTAAACACATGGGTTGTCACTAAAAAAAAGTAACCATGAACTGGGTTTTGCCTGTGAGCTTGAATTAAAGGTGATAATAGAAGAAACTGCATTTTCATGGGTATTCATGGGAATTTGAGTATTACAAAAATAAAATAAAATTAAATTAAATGCACATGAACCTATGTAGAAGAATGGTGTCAGAGGAGGAGATCCTTCTTCCAACACAGAGGGAGTCATTGTATAGTGAGCTGGTTGTTGGCAGCTAAGATGTCCTGTAGTGTTCTTAGTAACAGAGGAGCTGAAGGCTGAAAGTGCTCCGCTGTTTGACCAGTAGGTCAAGGTGGGGTTGTGAGGTGTTCTCCATGATGTTCAACAGTTAGTGCAGCAGCTCTCCACAACTGGCTCCAGAGGGTCCATAGACGTCCTGAGCACAGCACAACTACCTGTTGATGAGGAGGTGCATGCTTGTGAGATATGCTCATTAGATAATCAACAGCCCTAAAAATGACAACCCAAGAGCAGCTGTTCTGCTTCATTTCATTCACAAAGATGTCATAAAACAGTAAAAAGAAAAAATTCACAGTGTGGAGCTTCAAGTCTGCTATCAGAAATAAGTAAGAGAAAGTTGGCAAACACCACAAATTCCCTTAAATTGCTTCTATATGCCACTTAAGAGTGAATCTGTTTGTACAACTTGTACAAAGGTCACCTTAAAACAGAATAAAGCATGAGGCCTGGCCAATAGAAACACTCAGATTGCTACAAAAATAAGAGTGAAGCTGTTATGAACTGGACTTATCCTTTAAAGACTTGTTTACTTTGGAAAGCCTCCCCCCCTAGGCTTTGTACATATCTTAATCTGCACTGTGGATCTTCTCGTCTGCTGGAGTTGTGGTCGTGGTGGGAGATGGTCCCAGTCTCTGCCGGGCTTTCCCCTTCTGCACACCAGCAACCCAGCAGATGAGCTCTCAGAAACCCAAAAGCAAACAGACAACACTGGCATATCAGAATGTTTAAACAGTCTCGCGGGGTGGGAGAAAGCAATGACTTATATGGACTGTAGCCAGTCTTTAACCTGCTGCCCTCCAGTGTTGTTATCAACATTTATGAGGGAGTGTCTACACAACGTGTCTCATGCAGATTGTTGTTTATCAAATGTTTTCATTCATAAAAGCTGAACATAGAGTAAAATGCAACTAAATATGATGAATAAGTGCCTGTAGCCTCTGTGTATGTGTTTCAGCTGGTCAGCATTCAAGAGTGACTTCTTGCAGCCTCCTTGTGGTTCTGCTTTCAGTTACCAGCTGGAAAGGGTAAAAAATGATTAGAGATAAAATCGTGTCTTTTTGCCTCGTAGAAAAAAAAGCTCTTGTTTCTGAGGCTGAGGCAGTGTGGAAAATGGAGAATGGCAGAGCTTTCATGTAGCTGAAATGTGGATATGCTGAACCATGACCCCACCATGACCCCGTTTTCATGCTGCTGTGGAAGTGTTAGAACCAGAAAACCTGGATTCTTCTATCCTTCTTATTCAGGCTGGCCAAAGGAAATAAAAAACAGGAGAACGTAATTGAGATCGGTAATGAGGAAAACCCAGCATAAAAATCACTGCTCATTTCCCCTCTGGTCCATGAAAAACAATTAAATAGTAAGTTTAATGCAGAGCTATTCACAGAAGTTTAGTTTTCTTGCAGCTTGTTAAGGAAATCATGTGGCCCTGATTACAGAGTTGCACCAGGCACACACAGTCGGTCACTGTGGATTAGCTGACCTTAAGTCTGCTACAGAGAGACATTTTTTTCCTTGCTTGTATAGTATTTCAACATTAACTTGACAAATACATAAAATTTACAATGAGATTGCTGTAAGTCACTTTGTTTGTTTTCCATTATCTGTCTGCTTTTGACATTACTTGCTTTTATGGCTCTTTAGGGACCTGAGAATCAGTTGTTTCTTTAGAAAAATGATGGGTGGGTGAATTAGTTGGGTTTAGGAAAATAATTCTTAAATAGCAACAGTATCTTACACACAGTGACAAGTCTTTCTTTCTTAGCCATATCAATCTTAGGTTTGTTTACCATCTTGGTTAGAGGTAAAATCTTGTAATGATCCATGAGCAATATGTGCACTTCTCCTCCTGCTGTTTCCTCTCAGAGATAGGACCTGGTATAAACAAGTCAGACCTCTTTACTGACCCAAGGACTCAATTAAAATAGCACCCTCTTAAAGTAAGAGGTTGTAGCTGGCAAATGCTTCGACGTGAGGTCTGTCATGGCTCAGCCTTCTTGATGAAACCCAAAGGGACAGGTTCGTTCAAATCCTGGCTGCTCCAAGATGTGAACACAATGGTCTGTTCTGTCATGTCCTCCTGATGATGTGAATTTAGGTGTGAAGAAAAAACTATATCAGACTGTTTGCACAGGACTAGTATCACCCTGAGACATTTATGGATTTGGAATGACTACTGCAGTCATTTTGGATCTTTTAACAAAAGAAGCAGAATAAGAATATTACTGAAAACAAACTAAGCAAATCTTAGCATCTGGTATTAAGATTTGATACTTTCTGGTAAACCATATCTTCCCCTTTAATACTTATCTAATTCTCTGTTTTACTGGTTCCAAATCTAGGGGTCGGCACCCTTCCAAGGGGTCACAAGGGAAATCTTAGGGGATGCAGGATGATGAATTGACAGGAAAGAAGTCTTTTCTCTAAACTTATAAAAAAAAGGGTGCAAGGGTTACAGACAGACACTGAATTATTTTAAGGGCTTACAAAAACAAAAGTTTTGTTCAGTTCAGTTACCATTTTCAGTTTTATATGGGTATGACAAATTGTAAAATTGAGCACTCCACTTGTTTTTCATTTTAGCAAATTTCCTTTTCATCAGATTTCATCATATTTTGGGGTAGCTGATTAATTACATGCGATTCCCACTTCATACTGATTGTGCAAACAGGATTTATACCGTCATGTTTTTGCCATTGTCCTCTTCTGTTTCCTGTGGCCTTATTCTTTTTGTTTTTCTCCCTCCCACAGCATGTGGTCGTGGTTTCTACAAGTCTTCCTCCCAGGACCTTCAGTGCTCTCGCTGTCCCGCTCACAGCTTCAATGACCGTGAGGGCTCCTGGCGCTGCGACTGTGAGGACGGCTACTACCGAGCACTCTCTGACCCTCCGTCTGTGGCCTGCACAAGTAAGTCTGCCATGCTTTTGCTGGGTAAACTCAGCACAGATTACTTGCCAGGATCTGAATTTAAACAGTCACACATGTAAGGGAAAAAACACACAATGGAACCCAGGCCAGACCTGCTCAGCCAGGCTGCAGTGGTCTCATGAAAGCGCCAGATGTGTTCCATAGCAGTTCCTCTACCTCCCAGTATGTCGTTATAATTATGTTTGCAGGCTTGCATGTCTGTTTTCTGTCTTAGTTGGTTGCTAATGATGAGAGGAGCAATTTGCCATTTCCCGTCTGAAAGATTGCAATTACAGTCAGCAGCGGCAGCTCTGGCACCCCCCTACATCTTCATTTGTCCTGGCCAGTGTAACAGCTATGTGTCAGCCAGTGATAGCTTATTTACACAGGGCAGGGGATTCATTTTGAAAGGTGGGGCTCATTTGCTTCCAAATCCATTTTCAACTTGTTTATATCAAGGTTCCTCTGGATGTTTTTTTTTTTTTTTTTACGTCAGCTACTGTGCACGGGGACTTGCACACCACAGCAGGAGACTGTTAGCACTCTGCTTTATTCAAAGCAGGAACATTTTTCAGATTGTGATAATTTTCTTTTGGATCATTTTGTGTTGGTACACTTTTTTCCCCTTTTTAAAAAAAATCATTTACACATAAAGAAAGTGACATCATTAACAAGTGATGTATAAAAATACCAGGGTAAGCAAACAACCACAAAAAAGAAACCAACAAAACAACATACATACAAAAAAAACATAAGCTGGACGGCGTATAGTGACCTGTAACGCCGTCCAGAGGGGAGGAGTTTGAACAGATTGTGTCCAGGGTGTGAGGGGTCTG